CCACTAAATCTGTGTCTAAGGTGCGTAGTGCCACCCTGCGTGCAGTCAATGCAAGCATTTTCACATACATGTGTAGTGGTACATGTTTGGATGATTAGAATGTCCGGATAATTAGAAGTTTCTCCCCGGCATTTTGGTGTTCGCATTACCAGGATTCTGCCTGTATATTTTTTCTTCCCGGAGTGCTCAGAGTGGCAAGTCTGTGTCCTCACAGGTACTGGGCCATGGGCTACATTAATGAAAACAAGCTGCCTACGCGTGTCACACCACTTTCTTGCCATGCCCTGCTAGTTATGGGGGTTTCCCCTCCCCGAGAGAATTATCTTTGCCCTTTGCGCCTTCACTGTGTGTTTAGCGTAACCTCTGGACGGTTGAAAACACAGGTTGGTGGGTTGGAGTACCAACTGGTCACATGTACCGTAGTTCCGCGCATATAAGCCCATGGGCTAATATACGAAATAATGCATTTTCCGGGTAAAAAATCAGTAATAATGGTTCGTTTTTAGCCCAGGGCCTATATTCGAATTTTGAAGGCTGATGGCACGCGAAAAAGTACAAGTCCGTGCGCGGTTGTCCGCCCACCGTATACTGCACTGCTGAAAATTCAGCACTTGTTTTGTCTTTTTCAATTTCCTTTCTTTTTTAACCCTCCACTTTCTTGTTTTCTGGCTCATCAACAAGAACAGCTCTGTACCGGTATTGTGAAAAATACACTTGACAAACGGGTCCGTAACGGTGTTTGGGTCTGTTTATTAGCCCATGGGCCTATAAACGGAGGTGGGCTTATATCCGGATATAGGCCCGTGGGCTTATATGCGCGGAACTACGGTATATGCAGTATACAGTAAACCTGGTTTAAGCGACCACCCCACGGTGCAAGCAAAAGCGGTCGTTAAAGACAGGTGGCCTTTAGAACCAGGTCCCACAGTTTCTGTGTAGAACTGTCGGTGCATGGAAAAACGGTCGTTAAGAGCAGGTGGTCGCTAAACACAGAGGTCGTTTACACCAGGTTTTACTGTAAATGTGCATATATACCGTGGTGACGCACATAAAGGCGCATGCGCTTATGAGTGAGTTTTTGCGTTATTTGCTATCTTTGCGGGTCGTTTTGCCTCTCGCACATAGGCACGTGCTCTTGCGTTGCTAGTGTACCGGCACCTCGCATAATTATGCACATAGTGCAATACCGAAATGCACATTGAACTATTTTGAACATTGTGTTTTTGTGGTGTCTGTGTGTCGCGGGATGGACTGCATTCAGGTTCACTTATACGCCCGTGCGCTTATTTGTGAGGGTGCGGCGCTTATGCCCGGGTATGGGCACGTGCGCTTATATGCGCGTCACTACGGTAGAAGCCTTGCTCGATAGCTTAACATTGTTATACAGTATGTGTGTCACGCACAGTTCAGAATTTTTTATAATTTTCTGATCTGTGCGTGAGGTGCCTGTGACCAGTGAGAGCTGCAACCCACCATGGCACCAGCCTATGCTTTCAAGTAAACCAAGTCAACGAGTCTCGAGTTCAAAATGTTCTTCATAGTGGCAAAAAACCCCACCTGTCACCACTGCCAAGCCATGTCAGATGACTACGTGTGTTTGAGGTGATAGGTTAGCAATGGAACTAACGTTAGCTTGTATTTTTGACGCTGCCCTTGTGTTTGAGGTGACGAGGTACTTTGTGTCAGGCATCTGCTGAGCTCTGCGGGTACCTTTTGGCTCTGCCCCCCCCCCCCCCCCCCTTATGTTTGAGGTGACGAGGTACTTTTCTCGTGTCAGGCATCTGCTGAGCTCTGCGTGTACTCGCATCCTGCCGATTCCGGTGTTGTATCCGCTACTGGTTGTGTTGTACTGTAAGACAAGACTTTAGTGATGTTAACGAACGTTTAATTCTAACGTTTTAACGAATTTAGTTTGAAGTAAGAAAATCGTTAACATTAATTAAAGTCGTTACGTACAAAACGATATGTACATCTACAGTCATTTGCCGGTTTGGGGAACAGAATTCGTTAGAAATTTACCTCGCTAACGCACGAAAATCCGGAGATCGTTAACTTTAATTGACGTTAAAACATCTGATTGTGCTGTATTGGACCTAGCAGTAGGTAGTGGGTGTTTTCGTGGACCGGCGCCCCCGCTTTCGCCTGTTGCCCTGGCCGCTTGTGACAAACAAGGATAATAGGACGTGTTGTTTGATACGTTCGGCCAGGTGTTGAAGCGTCCTGCCAACATACCGACTACGAGTACCGCACTGTCGGCATTCGAAAATAATGGTTGATGAGATGGCTCTAGCGGTGGGTTGGCAGAACGTCTTTCAACGCCGTGAATGGGCTCTACCAACCGTCTGGATGGTTGTAGAAAGGTCACTGTTTCCGAACCCGGTGTCCTCCACCGTGTTTCATGCTCTCAACCAACAATATGTATATGATTGTGGTACTTGAAAGAATGGCGATCATCAGACAGCAACCCAAGCTCCGTATCCCATTCAAATTTTTTTTATTTTTTTTAATATGATTGTGTATAGTACGAAGTAGTGGTTGCGACTTCGGCGATGATTTGTAAGAAAGTTCTCACCGTCCAGGAGCGACACTGACTCACGCTGCTATCTGGTGTTCACGAGGTGTTTTGTCGCGCTGGAAATGGAGCGTCTCTGTAAGTTTGTATCCCTGGTGATGTTTGTGCCTGGAGAGCACTATATAAGTGGTGCTCTTCATGCACAATCTTCCTCAGCCTACTCAAGCTCAACTGATGAGGGGTGAATTCCCCGAAACACTGTGTATTGAGCAGGGAGTGGTGCTTTCTTGCAGGTTTGCCGAGTCGAAGGTTCGATGGACTTCTCGTGTGCTCTGGATGGCAGTCGTGAGTCAGTCAAGTGTCAAGTAAAGTCGGCGGAATAGCGCGAGCTCCAGTGTGGGGAGCAAACCCTTTCTTATGATTGTGTATACTAATTTATAATCTTCGCCGGAAAAGCGGGGCCTCGAGCTGATTTTCATTGCGCGGATTAAATCTCTCAAATCTCCCGCTCAGCGGCAAATATCCACGGTAACCACGGATTTTTTTCAAAATTTCCCTCAGTGTGAGTATGTGTGACCGGCCCCGTATATGACTTTTTGGGGGGCAATTTGGCTGGCTTCTATAATTATGAGACGGGCTTCTATACACGACAGGTATCTCTTTTTTATTTATTTTTTATTTTATTTTTACAAAAGACCACTTAAATGCCAAACATGAGATGCAGCTAGCTAGGGGAAGCACGCACAACCTGAATCGTGGTGCGTCTGTGTATATCAACACTAAAACCAGGCTTATGTGCCGACAGTGTAACTTGAAAATCAGGCTTCTATTCAAAACGGGCTTCTATTCAAAACGGGCTTCTATGTAAGACAGGCTCTAATACAGGACACTGTGGTACTTACGTCACCGTGGACTTGTCCGTGGCGGAAGAGAGTGTAGCTTTCATTGGGGTCATATAGGATAACGTTAAGTACAA